TCAATCTGTATCCATTATCTTACAGATATGGGTGCGACCATGGAATAGATGGATGACAAAGTATAAGTTGCAACAAGACCACAGTGGCACAAGACCTCAGCTTGCGTGACTTGATAATACATCCTCAATATCCATTTATTGATGCTTATCGTAATGACAAAGTAACTTGTGATTACTGTGGATTGGTGGAGATAAAGTGTCCATTGTGCTTTAACGAAAGCAACTTCAAGACGACCCTATCAAGAAAAAAAATTGTTTCGGTGGGTCTGGTAGTGAAGGCTTCAGTCTAAAGTTGGACACCGATACTACAACCAGATACAGTTGCCAATGAAACTTAGCGAGGCGTAATATCGCGACTTTGTGATCTGAAAGGAAATTCTGATGGGTAGCCGGCTAACCGCAACCTTTTGTTTAAAGAATATTATGAGATATGACTTAAGAGTCTAAATTTTTATTTGAGAGGGGTGTAACCCAAGCTAATTTGCAAATGGTATACATAGTACCAAATATATCACACACTTTACAGTAATTATAAATTATATTTGAAAAATAAAGTACATCAAAAATGTATTTTTAAAAAACAATTGGTTTTATCTGCAGATACTAGGTTGATATTGAAATTGACCATTTCAATGCTAAATTTTCTTTAGTCAAAAGGCACACTTGATTCGCAAAGATTTGCGAATGCGCACAGTGCACCAATTTGTCTTATGTTTTGATTCCACAGGCAGGAGGTTGTGGATCGGTGCTGCTCAGGATGGGATATTTTTTTTCTCTAAATGCATATTACGAGTTTCACATGAATCCATCGTGCTCAGATTCGACTGTTTTCAAGGTCTGACGGCTCCAACAGCCTTATTTTATGGGTACACAAGAGAATTTTCAGTGTGGCATGCATGGGTCAGTTGGAGTCACTAACCTCAAGATATCTATAAGCAAGGATAAGATAACCAGGAAGTAACATTCCATAATTTTGAGTAAAAAATGTATCTGCCTCCACAGCCCTTTTAAATGGAAGATATGATGCCTCGGGGGGTAATTTCTATCAAATATTTTACAGTATTATGGTTCTAGTGAAAAGGGGTGTGGGCGGCTTTTTTTAAAGTGTGTTAGGTCTAGTTGAAAGACACATTAAATGTTTATGCTAACAACTGCAAATTAATATTGCAACGCATACAAGTTAACAGAATTTGGTGAAATGGTCCTGCCTTTTGCCTTTTTTCAAAATCCCCCTTTTTCTAACTATTCTCTTCCTCTCTGGGGATGGCGAAAATTCAAATATCGATGGGACATATAAGCAGCTGATAATGGGTTATCTTCCCCTTTTCCTGGGAATAAATTAAAAACTAATCATCATTTGACAGTGCCAAGTTTGTGTATCAGATCAGTAATAAATTACCTGTTAAGTAACAAAACAATCAGACAACACCTTCTGACCATTGATGAAGATTTCTTTCAATTTAAAACGCAACTATGCCTACCAATGTGGGTAGTTTTCAGGATAGAATTTATCTGTGTTGGGATTTGGGGACATATTGCAAGGTGCAACATCGTACGATTACCATTCTATGTCGGGATTAGTTAGCCAGTTATTTGTTTTAGAAGCATATACTTGATGGCGGGGGATGTCGTAATCGACCAGCGGTCGTGTGAACCACCCTCAGTGGGAGGAGAGCTGCAATCCCCTCGCACATAACTATCCCCGCATGGGATTGAAACCTGTGAAACTCGCAGGGGGATCAGAGATGCAGTGGCGAGCGTATTCTTAGATGGAGAATTCAATTGAATTCTGGTTATTTTTTGCATTAGCACTGGCGTTAAACTTTAGTTATCTATTCAACTTTTCGCACTTACTGATAGATTACCTGCTAACTAGGAAAACAATACCTTATGGCAATTATTGATTATTACTTTACCCGAGTCAAGTCTACAAGTAGGCCTACGCCTAGGCCTACCAATAACAGTAGTTTGTCATCTGCTTTCCATTGAAATGAGGGAGCTTATGAATATTTAAAAATTCGATACCGGCACATGATGACTCACCATCAACGAAGTGCCGTCCGCAAACAGTGAAACACAAGTGAGATGGCTTCTGGACTTGACACCAAGCAGTCCTGCCAATAGATAATATCCACATTGCGCGACGTTCCGGATCTTTTGAAAACAGTGGAATATAACTGAAGATCTATTCCGTTGTCTATACTATACGCTCAGCCAACGGAACAATACGAAATAACCATTTTCAACAGCCAAACAAAACGGGAACGTATAATCCGACTTGCAACTGACAGGAGCCAAATGGACGTTTTTGTTTTATTGCCGTCCAGTAACAAAGTCACGTGACCCGTGCAAGTCCTCTTTTCACGGGGTGAAAGGTCGGGGAAATATTCAAAAATCGCTTTATTCGGTTACAATCATGGTGCTTTTACTTGACGGCATCCGAATTCCGGAGACGGAGCCACAAAGTTCTGTGAGCTTATTCAGCGCGTAGAAAGTCGCGCCTATTAGTCGTAGGTTTTTACACATTCCAAAAGGGGGGAGGGAGGGGGGTTGACCCGCAGACCTGGTTCCTCGCAAACGCATCGGTAAACTTTTTTTTTCATCGGTGGATCAGATTGTTTTTTTCGAGGAAACCAATGGCAGAATGGTGGTGGTTTTAGGTTGCGCTTCTTTTTAGTTTAATGCGCAACTTCGTTTTACAGTATTTTCACCCATATTGAGGGAGATTAGACGTTCCCCAAAGTAGGGGCTTCGATTTCTCGTTAAAACAGAATTCTCTGAAACTCTCGATCTGTACCCGTACCGGTACCGTAAAAGCAGGTAACTTCGGATGATTTCACTATATTATGAACAATTTCTCCGCCGTTTATTGTTCAATTGAAGCCAAACTTGGAATATAATACATTGAAGCCTTTCTCCTCGCGATAAACTCGGTTTCATATCAATCAATACTTTTTTTCATTCAAATTATTGACTTAATTTGCCTGCCGATCTGTATTCCAAATGTTTATAACTTCGGATGGCCACTTTTCGCTTTGCGTCACTTCGTCGTGAGAGAGAAATGTCTGCGTGATCAGTGACGCGTGATAACGTCGCTGCGTAGAACTTACGACGCCGTGATTCGTTTTGCGTGTCGCACACTGACGTTCATCTATGACGGCCGTTTTTGTGATTAATTCTTCCGGGTCGGCGAACATCAAAGTTTTATATATCTGGTGTACCCGTGTGTTTAAATCGGCAACAGCTCTTGAAGACAAGAAGGACTGATTTCAAAACCCAAATTAATTTTGTTCTGATTTAATCTTACGTGTTGGCTTTGATCTTACTTATCACCGTTTGTATACTATTAATCGTTCGAGTTTAAAGCGAACGGTGATATTATTATCGTCGCCGAGATGGAGATATTTATTAAGACGATGATTGATGTTGTTATGCTTTGCACCCGCGATTGTGCGAATACTGAATTTTTATTTATAATAATGATTGAATAAATCGGCCGTTATGCATTTATACTTGTCATAAGGCTTTTGGTCCTGATAGCGGGTCGGACACCAATTATAACTATTTCCCTCAAGTTTTAACTTTTTTTTTGAACAAAACAATACCCCAACGGTTATTATAGCTAAAACCGTTACCGACTAATTCACAATTTTATCTGCGGAATTTGCGAACTCAGCACTTTACTCGACGATTTTGACAGTGTCGCGCCATAATTATTACCGCTAAATGCTTCAAAATACAACGCATGTAATAATTTTGCCCAGCCCTATTCCTGACGTTTCGCAAAACTAAACCATTTATCTCTTGACTATTCTTAATTTCATGAAAGTGCTATATCTTGCTATTATGATCGTTTCAATACGAAACAAAAATGAGACAACATGGGACAAATGAAAATAAAAAACGGACGAATAAAATAAGTCGTAAAAGTAAAAATGGAAAACAATTTTTAATACAAAACAAAAATGAAACGAATGAAAATAATAAAAAAGAAAAATGAATGATGAATTACGGTAGGTAGTAAAAGTAAAAAAAAATGGAAGTGGACAACAATATGGAACAGTGTAGCTTGTGGCCGTGTTGATAATTCAGATATAATGTATTCACAGGCAGATAGACATGAAACGGATAAAAACGCCAAAAACCTCCAATCTCCTGCTGTGTGCACCTGTGCAGAGTTTCATGCTCACCTGTGCAACATTCTACTCTTAATATATTATCATCGCCGATCGTAAAACCTTGTCATTGTGATAGTATAGATACGCGTATCTGGCTGTTCATCAGCCTTACGTATCAACAACATCTACACGGTCGAAGAATGCCGAAATGTTAACACACAAATTTAATGTGCATTAATCGGATTCACAATAAATAAACAGCATATGACCGGGGCTATAATTAAGTTTTTGTAGGATTTAGTGACGAGGATCAGGTAGGAGTTTTCACTTTATATTTAACTACACGTGGCGCCACATAGTCTGGCGTTCAAAAGTCGCAGCGAGTTACGCACGAGCTACGCAATGTGACGTCGGCCTTAAATGGAGCAAAATTGAATCACGTTGTTGACGTCACGTTCAGCGTAAGCACCGTAACGTCGATATTTTGACGAAATTTTTAAATCAAAATAATATATTTTACTTGAATCTCGTACGACATCTCGTGATCACTGTAATTTTCCTTGTACATTGTGTATGCCCTCTAGCGATTGACGGTCTTTTAGTGAAGTTAACGTCGATAGAAGTCGCTATTTTAGCCGCTCAAAAGCGAGGTGTCAATTTTTGGCAAAAAGGTGATTTTTTGTGTCAAAAAATAAATCCTATTAGGCGACTGAATATGATAAGAGATTAAGATATATAAGGACTCTCCATAGAAACTGCCAGAAGCAGAATATGACGTAATTTAGTCGAGATATAAACGATTGAAAATTTCATCCGAAGTTATAAACCATCCGAAGTTACCTGCGTTTACGGTATAGTGTCTGAGTGTGCCCATTGGCCATTGCTGCATTGAGTTGATCTCACCTCAATAAGTGTGCCATACTGTCATAGTCATTACAGATCTGTTTTTATTGTCATACTGTAGCCCTTAATTTCATGAAAGCACAACTTCGTTATGGATCGGATACTTGAAGTATATAAGGATGCTATTTATGATAAAGCAGGTTCGTTTTATATTTGATATACCTCATTTCACAGTTTCATTGCAGTAAATTATTATTTAGTTACCTTGGTTTTGGGAACTGAGAAATAATAATAAGTACAGAAGTATTCATAGATTTATTTACAGAAAATACTGTGAACCCATGCAATGGTCTTTTAGGCTGCTTGGTTTCAGTGTTTAGAACTTTATACAGTCTGACAGTTATATTTTGCGCTTAAATTTCACAACATTGAAGTACTCCAGAACCAATATCTGAATATTCTAGATGCATGGATTGAGTGAAATACAGTTAAATAAAACGATGTGGCATAATGATCACATAAACCATTCTCTATTGTAGTAATGTCTCAATGATAATGCATTGAGGGATATTCTCTACTACAGTACTATGTAATTCACTTGTAATCTCTACGTTCAAAATTGCCCTATATTTATTCCTAATAAGTCTTTAGAATTAACATAATATTATTATGCATTCAATTATCAAACTATCGATTTGAGACTGATACCTTTTTATATCCTTTTTTAGATCAAAGGACAGAATCTTGGTTTCTAGTAAGCAGTCCATGGCCTCCTGTCATAATATGCATTTCTTATATTCTTGTGTGTGCAAACTGCGACAAAATTATGAAGAATTTTCAAGCAATGAGTCTTAGACCTATTCTTGTTGCATACAATTTTGGACTTGTGATTTTATCAGTCTACATGGTTTATGAGGTATGTAGCATATCATAATGCAAATATACCCCTTTTTTTGCATGAATATATACTAATACTCTTGCTTGGGCAAAATAAGATAAGAGAAATTGTCTAATGAAATGATAGCTCCTCTATTTGTTACCAGACCAGGTAGTATATCTAAATAGGCCATTAATTGTCAGTTTTGTAATGAAAAGCAGTTGCAATTCTATTTCATATCATCTTCCTCTATTTGATTCAAGGCTGCAGTTCCAAACCTAGTCCAGAAGTCATTCTGTCATTAGTGTTGTGATATTATTTAATTTTCTAACAGTAATACAGGAGTCAGATGTCAACTGTATTGTTTGATTTATTTATTTAGAGCAAATAAGTGCTGAATGCTTGAACACTTCCAATTTCTGTTTTTTTTTAGTTTCTGGTTACGAGCATCCTCTCAGGATACAGCGTGATATGTCAGCCAGTTGATTATTCCGACAATCCTTTAGCGATTCGTGTGAGTTTTTTATTGATTGCTCATATTAGAATACTAAAGATGTAACAGTATTATACTGTGCTTTGCAATTCTGTTATCAGTTGATTTAGGAAGCAGATTTTCGCCTATTTTTGGCTGCTAAATATCTTACCTTTTTACATATTATGTCATTAATAAGCCTATTGTCAAAAATATATAGCCTACAAGGCTACATGTATTAATTGAAACATATACAACTTTTGAGCAATGTTTTTTATTAAATTCCAATGCTAACCTCATGCTACGTCACTTCCACAACAGCAGACAGTCAAGCTAAGTGACTCTGTGATGGTTAGGTCAATTTTCAGTGAATTTTCATAATCAGTATTGATGGCATGAAAAGGCCAAATTGCAATTGCAATCTTGTCACCTGACAAGGCATTCTTATATCAGAACATATAATTTCGATGATTATTATTAATTTTGTTTCAGATGGCCAAAGTATGCTGGTGGTATTTTTTCTCAAAGTACATAGAGCTTGCGGACACTGTCTTCTTCATATTGAGGAAAAAATTTAATCAAGTTTCATTTTTGCATGTTTATCATCATGCAACTATGCTGATAAACTGGTGGCTGGCTATTAAATATGTAGCTGGAGGAAATTGTAAGTTGAATTAATGCCTTTTTTCTCATCTTCATAATATTTTTTTTTCTTCAATGTTGATTTCCAAATTTCCTGGTATCCCAGTGAAAAAATTCGTCCCTATTTAGAGCAGGAGTCCTTCTTTTGGTGTTATGGAGCCTATGAAGCGGTTGACGTTCATTTGCGGAGCGCCACAAAAAATTCATAAAATAAAAGCAAACAAATAAATTTCTACTTACCGATTAATGTTCCAGAGTAAATTGAAATTACTTTATTTAATGACTGCGATGCATTCGTTGTTATTGCTTCTTTGGACAGCCTCGGGATTCTGTGAGAGAAACCTGGGTGCTCAGATAGCTATTGATTTACTTAATAAAATACTGACTTGGCTAATTTTGTAACTGTCTAAAGAAGCAGTAACGGCATTAATAAAATTTGACAACCTCAATTTGAATATTTTGTAAATACATTGCATCAGATTCATCCCAGCCATTAAATAAAGTAGTTTTAATTTACTCAGGAACTTTAACCGGTAAGTAACAATGTGTTTGTTTTCATTTTTATAAATTTATTGTGGGGATCCATAACATCAAGAGTTTGAGAACCCCTTATCTAGAGGATCGTTAGAGTGATGACCAAGGTTGTAATTTCAATCTGGGAGACTTGTGTTGGATACCCTGATTTTCAACCCTCATTTGAACTATTCTTGTTTATTTGTTTTATTCACTTTATTTTCAGCTTTCCTTATCGGTGTTATCAATTCATTTATCCATGTTATAATGTATTCATACTATGGAATAGCAGCCATTGGACCTCATATGCAAAAATATCTCTGGTGGAAGAAATATCTCACAAAATTACAATTGGTATTGTATTAGAATTAGATGATATTAGTAATTTTGTTAACTGAATGAAGATTTATTGTAGGATAGTGCTCCAACAATTCAAGTTCGTAAATAATATATTAGGAAGCTTTTAAATTTAGGAATGGTATGTGAAAATTAAATATTTTAGATTATTTAATAATGTAGCCGATAATATTTTTGAATAAATATATCTATATTGTGATATTGTTGATGTGAGTTTGGCTTTGGATATTTAGAAATATTTATTTTCATATGGTTAAGTAATCTTAAATTTGTCGGCACATTATTTGAATTATTTAAAATAAATAGCAATGTACAATATTAAATTATCACATTTTACTTATCCTTTTCTCATTTTATCTATCGCCATGCTTTATCATTCCAGATCCAATTCTTCATCATGCTAGTGCATAGCGCAAATATACTTCTTGGCGACTGTGATTTTCCAAAGTGGATTAGTGGTCTTGTTGTCGGATATCAAGTCACACTCATCTTATTATTTGGAAAATTTTACTTCGATAGTTATCGAAGGAAAAAAGATTGATTCTAATTATTTTAGAGAACCAAATTACAATTCCAGAAAATATTGAACTGTATTATTCAAATTGTAGGAAATTATCAAAATCTTCATTTTCGAACCCCTGTGTTATTCTAATTTCTGTGGTAGGCTATTGTTTGATTACATTGGATTTTGTATTATTCATACTGAAAATTATTAACAGTGTTTTAATTTGTTGTTTAGGCTTCTACTGTTTGCATATGATAATTTACAGTGTTATATTATTAAATTACTTACTTTTACAAAATTGGACCAAAACTCTGGTAAAGTGTTTTAACAATTATATCTACTGTAACAATATATTTTTTATAATTGATTAAAATCAATTCAGTGGAATACTGATTGCCAAATTTTGATTTCAACTGAATTTTACAAATGAATGATATGTAGGTTATTACCTACGGGTAGTTTCATTTTGTGATTAAAAAAAAATTTAAATTTGCTGTGTTCCAGTCTTATTCATTTCAAATCTTATTTAATCTGCCTCCTTCAGCTATCTCCAAAATAATCTGAGACAGGTTTTTATTTTAAATAGCAAAAGTTATTGTTTCTAAACTAAAATATGCAGAAAACTTACTGTAATATCACAGGTGTATAGTAATCAATCTCTTAAACTTCAGTCTTCCAAATAATGGTGCTAAGCATGATAATATAATATAGCAAATGCCAATTTTATCAATTTGAATAAATAAAAATATCTCCATTAAGTTCTTGTATAAAATTAGAAGACAAAATTCAGAATATCATGTATGTATGTATATATAAATATATAATAGCAAGTATAGCTAAAATTATCAGCGAAATTAACACTTATTCTGTTACTAAACTAGAGCAAATACTTAAAAAGTACATTCCTTCATAAAATAGCAAGTTTATATATTCATATATTTCATGTGTGCAACTATTTGGTTATCAAAATAAAATACCTGTATGCCCTAAGTACCGGTACTCTTTATATTTTGAATGTGAATAATATGCAGTTTGTACTTCTACTGTTATATTTTGAGCCAAATTCAATTTTCTCTTTTGTATAGTCATATTAACCCTTTTTACCCATATCAATATGTAGTCAGAATTCGAGATTTCATTCCATTACCATAAAAAAGTGTTTCTAGTTGTAAATTTTTGTTTAATTCTGCTGGATCGAATATTAAAAATTAAAATATAGGATTTTTCACACTAGTCCTGTACCGGTTTGAATGTTATTAATAATGGTAAATGTGTCTTATAAGTTGGACACTATACAAATATAATATAACTGATTACAGTAAATTTGAAATGACTCTAAACATGCCATTCAAACTAACAAACGTAAAGATTTTGAGAGTATATGAAAGAGATGTAAATCGAATAGTATTTTAAATCCAGTTGATTTTTATTATACAAACAATATGATTTTTGGAGTGAAAAATAAACTGAATTGAAACTAACAAAACTAATTTATGGTATAGAAGTAAAATTCCTGGACGTAAGAATCCATAGTGTTACTTTTGTATTACAGTTTTTTTTTGCTTCAACTTGATCCCATAATGGGGGTATTCAGTCTCAATCGGAAAAGAAATAAAATTTACACCCTGAATGGCAAAATTTGAATACCGGTAGTTTTTTTTTTTCATTTTCAAGTATATATTTCATATTTCCATTCCAAAAGCAATGCTTCTCTTTTGACTGGTTGTAATGTTGTTGACATGTGATTCATTTTATAAGGTTTTAGTTAGTTAAAATGAGCTAGCCAACCATATCGACTGAATTTTTTGTTCTTGGCTACCATAAAATTTACTACTATTACTATGAATATCAGGTTGTAATGTTATTGAAATTCAAAGACATTCTTATATTGCTTCCTTTCTTTATGTGACATGAAACTTGACTTGGCTGAGTTTTCAAATATATGCCTCCTAAGTTGATATACCACTGTTTTTTGAGCAAGATTTGATACAATTTTATAATATATGATTAACTGTTATTTTGTAGATTTTCTTGTAAAAATGTTACAAATGTTTCATATTAAACTTTGTTTTTAGGAACAGAATTTGAATTTATTGCCTTGAAAGGTTTGTTTTCAAAATACTTGTACATTATAAAATGTTTCAAATTTTTTTGTTTCAAATTGTTTTACAGTTATTTCCTCATTATGATGATTTAAGTTAGTTTACACAATATCTGTTTGAACAGTAATAGATGATCTGTTCATAATGGATAATGAAAACGCTGTGCTGGTCACCAGAAAACTTCTACACAAGATCAAAAGCTTGTCTAAAAAAGTTGAGCTGTTGTATTTGAAAGAGAAGTTCCCATTTGCATTTGAGGGGAAACCAGTAGATACTGCAGAACACAAAGCCTTAACAATATGCCATTTTCTGAAGGAAAACCCAGAAATGTATAACGATGTAATGTTATCTTTGATGAAAGAAGAAAGTGGCCTAAGCATACAGATTGAAAGAAAAGTCAAAAAATTACATGCATTGGTTTGACTAGAAATAAAAATGACTTCATTTTTCAAATAATAAATATCATTCAAAACCAATTCAAATTGTAGTTCCTGCAATTCAATACTGTGCTCAATGATTAATTAAAAAACAGTATTTATATAGTAGTAAGCAGAGAATAATTGCTTACTTGCTCAGGCTTGAGTCATGTGCCACAATCTATTTGTTCGTCACTCGGGGATTCTGGCAATTGGATTTGAACTAGTATGTTTTGTTTCACAGTAAATATTGGTAGTAAAATTTATAACATATTTGACTATAATTTATAATTGAAGCAGAAATTCTTAACATAGTTTAAATGCTGGTATTATTGAAAAAGCTTACTTTACGTGCTTCATCAACAAAATGTAGTGTTTTATTTCATCATTTTTCTCAAGCACATGGTCCTACTATATGCATTATTGGGAGTGGTCCTGCTGGGTTTGGAATATCTCAATATTTATTAAAGAATCATGACTTGTTGCGAATCAAGATGATTGAAAAATGCCCTATTCCGTATGGTTTGATAAGATATGGGGTTTCTCCTGATCATCAAGATGTAAAGAACTGCATCCATGGATATGAGAGAGTTGCAGAGAACCCTAGATTTTCTTTCTATGGGAATGTTGATGTTGGAAGCGATATAACACTAAGTGAATTACACCAAGTATCTGATGCTGTGGTCCTTTGCACTGGTGCACAAAAACTCTTACAGCTTGGAATTCCTGGAGAGGATCTACCCAATGTCTTTTCTGCAAAAGAATTTGTTGGCTGGTATAATGGTGTTCCACAATACAACCAGTTAAAACCGGATTTATCTGGTTCAAATGCAGCAATCATTGGCGTCGGGAATGTGGCATTGGACTGTGCAAGAATGTTGCTTAAGCCACATGAAGAATTAAAAGACACTGATATAACTGCAGAATCTTATAAGGCATTGGAAACAAGCAATATTAAAAATGTTATTTTAATAGGAAGACGTGGTCCGCTTCAAATGACTTGTACAAGAAAAGAGTTGTCTGAAATTACCGATCTTGCGAATGTGACAACAATAGTGGATCAAAAATGTTTCACAGATGCTGTAAAAACAGCTTTGAAAATTAAAAACCTAAAATTGAGGAAAACACAAAGACTTGTGAAGCATTTGATGACATCAATGAATAATTCTGATTCTAAAGCAGACTCCGAAACCAATCAAAAATTTGTTGTTAAGCTTTTACGATCCCCTGAACAAATTATTGAAAAAAATGGAGCAGTTTGTGGTGTAACATTGAAGAAAAATTTTATGACTGGTGAAGATGCGTTCAAGCCTGATATATCTTACACAAATGAGACTGAAAATATTGATTGTAGCTTGGTCATTTCAGCTATTGGATATGGGAATGAGACTATTGAAGAAACTATTCCTTTTATTGAAGGAAAAATTATGAACAATGGAGGCAGGGTTGACCATGCACCTCCATTATATGCGTGTGGTTGGTGTAAAAACGGTGCAAAAGGCGTTCTTGCAGATACTTTAAATGACTGTTTGATAACCGGAAAAACTCTTTTAACCGACTTGAAAGCTTGGGAACAAAAGTATGATAAAAATAAAGGAAAATTGGATGAATTTCTGGTACAAAAACAGATAAAATCATATTCTTGGGATGATTGGAGAATTATTGATAAATATGAAACAGATCAAGGCATAAAATTAGGTAAAGTAAGAGAAAAGGTGGTTCATGGAAAACAAATGTCTGAAATTATTAATGCTAAATCAAATGATGTATTGTGACATAAACATTTTTCTTTGTTGTAAAACCTTGTCAACTTGTTCTGATTACAATGTTGGAACAGTCTTCAATTATAGATTCGTTCATATTTTTTTTACATCAATAAAAAATCGATGAAGAGTCCCCAAATATGTATTTCATGTATATTGATCGGAAATTTAACTAGATACCTTTTTCTCAGAGTTTTAGTCTTTTATACTATATATACATGACATGACTCAAAAAATGACCTGTATGTATCAAGAATAAAGGAGGGAAATGTCCGTTTCCTGAGAATCCCATCTTGTCATGAACATGTCATCAAAACTTCCAAACAGAGATGAATGCACGTACACAAAATGTTATTGGTAATATTTATGTTGTTCAAATTTATCATGATATAAAAAAATATTTGTAGGAAATTGGTGTTTGGACAATTCATAAAGAAGGACACAGAATTAACCGAATACATACAATCATATTGTTATGAAAGCTTTGTCACAAGCAGTCACTAGAAGTTGTATACTTTCAACTTAATCTTTCTAGAAATTTTTTTTTTTCTTGGACCTCGCTATCATATAAATCTTTTCTTAAATGGGATTCCATATTTATTTTGTACTTCTTCAAAGCCAATAGGGAAATTGAAATTCACATTTCATGATAAATCATATTGTTTTCAGCTACTTTAAGATAAAACAAGAAGTTTTCCTAATATAAGATTAAGGATGTTATATTGTTTAAATTTCATCCAACATAGAAATAATAGTTAATTCAGTTTCATAGACCGATATTGAATTGTCAAAAACAACTTCTTTTGTTCAATTCAATTTTACAGTGAAGAAAATGTGTGGAAACTATGCAAGTACATTGAAGATAGTGGAAAGATAGAACTCTTATCCAATTCATATGCAATATTCATTTCAAATCATGATCGCACAATTCCTTTGTGGAAACAAAAAGCGTCAAAACGAAGTGATACAATGGTGATGTGGGATTACCATGTCATCTTATTTGTTGAAAATGAAAGGTACCGTATTTCTATACTCCTTGTGACTCTTCATGTTAATTACCGTAGTAATTTCACTATACTTTGAAAAACTACTGACATTTGATTAATAGGGAGCGTGTTTATTTGGGAACTAAAGTGTCAATGTTCCTGACTCTTGTAAGAATCCTGCATCATTTACTAAACAACAGGGACCTCTTGCATTGAGCACATTTGAGAATACAAAATTCCAATTTATAAAACCCATAATAAAAATTATTGTCATTCGGCCAGTGGTAATTCTGATGAATTTTGCATAGTACTGTAATGGCATTCCATTTGCAGATTATTAACAATTATAAATCCAAACAATCACGCCAGATATGCATTGTAATTTTTGTAAACATTACATAAGGTGGAAAATTGTTAGAAACATTGCGTAACATGAGATTATGTACCGTAACTGATATATTAATCATTAACATATTATTCGGGTCTATCTAAATAGGGAAACCATGAAGCAGTTTAGTATTTTTTATACAAGTGATATATGTTAGTTCAGTATTGGTCATATGGCCTGGAATATTTCTATTAATGAACAGAACATGATAAATTCATTAGGCATGCCACTGATGCATTTTATCTATCTTTCTGTCGTTAATAATTAATATTCAACTAAAACAATTCTGGATATGCTTATTTTTTTTTTTGTTTTGTAGTCTCATATATGATCTTGACACAATGCTGGGATTTCCTTGTTCATTGGAGGAATATGCAACTGAAGCATTTAACTTTAATATGAAGCTCAAACCACAATTCGAAAGGTTGTTGAGAGTTGTTCCTGCAACTGAGTTTTTAAAAACTTTCGCATCTGATAGGTAAGAGTATAACTTATATTTATAGCAGAATTGCTATGTAGTCTGTGTGGCGCTCCCCAATTCTTGGTGCACAACCTGAACCCTAACCTGGTACAACTACTATGTTCAGGTTGTGCGCCGTCTTTGTGCATTGCTTGGTGCGACGAGAAGATTGCTGGACTTTGCGCCCTAACAGGGTAATCAGCATCTTTCTCCGAAAAGTTCTTGTGTTTGGGACTAATATTTGGTCATCAAATCATGTGCTTGACCCAGAATACAAGAACTTTTAACAAATTAAGAGTGATTCCACCTTATCACAAGCTACGTTGGTTCAATGTCCATATAGCAATGCATCTTTATGCTTAGGCATATTAACAATCTCACCAAAGTTTTGTGTCATTGCAAAGGCTGTAACGGAAAAGATAACCCAAGGAGCGAGAAGGATAACCTAATCATTTAAAAAATCTGTTATGGTTTTGGAATCCTGCACTGGTTACATATAGCATTTTGGTTTGAACACGTTATGTATATTTAATTTTGCTCTGCAGAACTCATATGCTCACTGAAGATGGAGAATGGACGTCCCCTCCTCCTGATTATCCCCCTATTAGCTCTTCTTCATCGACCAACAACTTGCAGAGTTTTATCAGCATGACAAAATCAAGCGAACAGTTTGGAGCAGTGCAAACATTGGAAGAGTTTATTAATAAATATATGTTGAAGGGTTGAGTCAGTTATTGAGTATGTTTTACTCACTGTCGGTTAATTGAAGACGAGTCCTGGTCATCCATTATGATGACCTTGATCACCTGAACCAGAGATGAAATTGCTGGTAATAGGTGGTTCCCCAGTCACTCACATGAAACTCTGATAACACAAGAGTGGTTTGCCTGAGGCGGTGAGAGCGTTGATCAGATTTGTCAATCCTGAGAACACAATGCGACTGCCTAAAACTAAAAAAATATTCACATATTCATCCCGTGGAGAAGAAAGTCGATAATACAGCTTAAACATATGTACATATATATAAAGGAAATAACTTTATCCCAAAATGCTGATCGTTCTATAATATTCCGATTTTTTTTTATCAAGATAGTAATATCCAACCCTTTCGTTAACTATAGAAATTTGATATAGATCTTTCACCACTGGCTCTGAATATTATTGAGTGGGGTGATGAAGTGTTGTTTAGGCCGTAAACGCCTTAACGTTGGGCTTTATTCTCTCTAAATAACAAATTTTCCACATATTGTGCCACGTTTACGATGATGAATAATCCATTTTTGTACTCGCACGGAATTGTGAATCTGACAGTTATTATACGTTCATCGGCGGCGATGTTCTAAAGACAAATGAAGGAGTGAATCCGCGGTGCAATTTTTTTCGATTAAAAAGCGGCAATATAAAATACTGAACACAAAACCATGAATAATAATAAGTTTTGTTGGGGTCCGCGACAGTCTAAAAACGCTTTGCTACGCGTTGAAAATCGCACACTGTGGCCGGCGTTTAAAAGCATATCGTCACTAGAATCGAAACACTGTTAATTGTGAGCGGGATTTACCCTTTTTATCCATTACTTCAAATTGTCGAAAATTTTATTGTTAACATTATACAAGGTTAAAAACGCGACTTTTTCCTGGGTTGTGATTATATATAAGATAATTAATCTAAGTATATTCAATCAATTTTCATTGTACTGAAATAAATTTTACTCCGTGAGATTTTACAGCAGATCCACGGATTTTTCGAACGGTTTATCTTTAAAATAATCGAAGTGGCAGCATTGCGATTTAACGACATTTTGTAACATCGCATCCATAGTTGCATCAAAAACCACGGAGCTTCAATGCTCAAAATATTGAACAAATTTAATCATCTCAAAGGCTCCGTTAGCATCCTATTTAGTTGTAAATCGAATTTCCAAATTTAAAAAACCTCGTACAATTGCTGGAGATAAATCGTTGATATTGTAAATAATATGATGATTGCCTGTACATCCGCCGAAATGATCTATTGATTGAGCAACTCCAAGGTAAGGATTTGGGCTACAAATAGATTCTATATGTTAGGTACGTTTTGCAAACTTTGATGATAAAACAGCTGCTGTGTTGCAAGACAACTTAAATTGTGAAGTCGGGGAATCTATCTTTTTAAACTATTCAAAAATTTCATTACAGCCAACAAACTTGATTGAAAAAGTTGCACCAGCATATGCAAAGGTGCCAGAGCGACACGTCTGGTCGTCTCATTGGTTCACGAGAACATGCGCCAATGGAAAGCTGAACACAGTGTATGCTACACCCGAGGAGGCATTTTGTGCAGAGCATTGTTTAGGTAAAGTTTTGAAAACAACTCTTCAATTAAAAAAGACAAATTATAATTACTTATCCTCATTTTCAGGCATGTTTGTAATCGGTTTAATCTTCACGATGATATCTGGGAGTTACTTCCTCGACAGATACTCAACTGCATTTGGACTTGTGTCTGTCGCACTCTTCGAAACTATTGCAGTTGCTTGGGTCCTGAAACTAGAGAAGTGAGTGCTTTATACTTGAAACAAAATTTTAAGCCAGGGGTGGCAACTGTTATTAATACAGGAGAGGCATATACAAAAAACTGTGTGAACCGCAGGCCAAACTTTTATTTAACACAAACGTTCTAGAGAATATTTCTGATTTTCAGTTATATTTTTCATGATGCAAGGATGCCTAGTTGCATAGGATTTACCGTAACATTATTGTAAAAATATAAGCAGTCCACTTATTTTTTTTCAGCTTCGAAAATGACAAGAGAGAATGATTCAATCAAATCTGGATTGTATTGGAAAATATCATGGGGATATACCTGCCCAATTATTATGGTCGTTAGACTGATTGCAAGCATCGTGGACATGTTCCTTAACCCTCCGAGTTACTACGCTTAGAACAAAGACATCGGCTCGAAAGACGAGTCGACTTATCTGCCATGGGCGTGTTTATTATTGTATTACTGATACTAAGCTCGATGTTCTGTATTCCGTTATTTGCGGGTCTGGTACGTTTCGGAATTTCCGACCCGAAATGGATCAGTGCGAAACTTTGCAGGATAAATAAAAGAGCTGAACAGAATGATAATGATGAAATCAGAGTTACAGAATCTGCGACTGTTGAATTTAAATTATACGAACAAAGTTTGATTATCGATATTTATTATCCGCTAGGTGACATATTGGTCAAATACCACGGTATCACTGTACTTGCTAAATACTGTTTTTCATGAAAGCTCTAGCATGATAAGCAAATCTGGTACGAACCTTCAAAAACCAAAGTTTTTCACCAAATTTCACAATCTATGACAAAATTCTGTCAAAATCACAACATCCGCTTCCAATAGATTCACCACCTCTGATTTATATACTGTGCTTCGGTATCTTGAAATTTATTTTTCCATCTTTTATTGTACAATTTTTTGTTTTTGTATACACAATGTTTTGCCCTGTTTGAATTTGATATTTATTGTTCCGTGTCTGCTATCTATTAAAGCTTTTACTTATTTCACATTCAAATGTATTGTTTTTGTCTTGTTTTGATTGTTTTAAATGATTTTTTTCTGTGATTGGCACACGATATTTATGCTAGTTTTTACTGATCCAAAAGTCGTTAGTATTTAAATCTGTTCCAAATCATTTAAAACTTGATAATCTAGAATTCTTTTCAATGAGACAATTGTACCTTTGCCTCAAAGTTATCGCTTTAGGTTTGATTAAAAATGCTAAATTTAGTTTGATTACACAAAATTTTACTCCATGGTACAACATTTTTTGGATATTTTTCAAGCGCGACTTCAACTAAAAAAAATTCGATTTTTTAAAGAATATCAGATTGTAAAATTATCCAAAGCTCATCTATAATTATCGGGTACTATTACTTTGGACTCGTATGTTAAAACTTCTGATTTTAAAGATAAAAATTACAAATTTAAGTTTATTGCTCAAAATCAACTACTCTGAGAAATCATTAAAACAATCTAGAATTCTTTAGAAAAAATACTAATTCAGTCAAAAATCTTAAATTTATAGTCAAGATTTATAAGCCTTTTATTATCATGTTTCAAATCTACTCATTGAGGAAAATTCTCACCTGAACAAGTATCAATATACACAAGTTTTTTGTAAAACTTATGAACGGTTTCTTCCAGTATACCGGTACACAATTTCCTATTCCAATCAGGGATATTTGTTTTATTGTTATTTTCTATTGAAGCTTTCTTTTTCTTTTTCACACTGAAATGTAGAGTCTGTTTCACGTTTATATATTTTTCGTCTGAATCAGTTTTGTCACAATCCCTAAACGTCAATTAGTAAACGTAAAGTAGTGGTTCTCAAATTTTTCAAGCCAAGCCCCGTTTTTAGAATTTGTCAAGTCTCTTGCCCCACCCAAAAAAACTAGCTAACAATAAGCTACAAATACCAGATAGTAGGAAAGTATGTTTTATCCAAAAAAATTCGTTGAAAATACAAGGATGAAATGTAAATATCCAAAAAGGACAAGATCAAATCTAACATATTTTTTATTTTTAATTAGCTTCAAGCCTCCTCAAAAAATTGTCTACACCCTTCTTGTGGGGCATCCGCCGCCATTTGAGAACGACTGATCTAAAGTCAATCTAAATTGCCACTGGCAAAGCATATAATCGGACCAATTAGCGTCCAATACACATAGCCTTACACTTAAATTAGAACTAAAACTATCGCTCCTTCGAATATCTTTGTTTGTGAGTAAAGATTTGTAGTTGTTGAAAAATGTGTGACCGGCTTGACATCTTGCTCAACCCTATGAGAAGCTATGCTGCATTTTATTGCTTCAAATGATAAGTTCCACCCAAATGATTTACCCATATACACAATTTTATTTATAATCATATATATGCTTATATATTGAATTTACCTTTTTGTGTCACAATTTTAACAAATATTTGCATATCTCCAAACACGGACCGTCACCTCACCCTGGAAGGTAGCACAATTTCCTATGTGGTCCTGTTGAAAAGCACTATGCTGGTGTAACGACTTGCCCAGTGCCTTCATAAGAGCATAGGTCAGAAAAACTTGTCAGATCTGCTCGTTCAGAAACTTCATTGGGGCTTAGTTCAAACTAAGCTAGTTCAGCGCTTGTTCACCGCTTTGATTCGAGCCTAACCCAATTTTGTGCTATGCTATCTGTTTTCCGTCCCGCCCCCCTTTCCTTTTTTGACTTGTGAAAAAATATGAGCATCTTTCCGTATCGTGCTTAATTTTTCATATCTTGAAACACTTTTTAAACCCTTAAGACTCATGAACACCCATGTTTCCCGGCCTTCGGTTAAAATCGCTTCCTTTTTCGGTCTAACTTGGCAACGAGATTTCAGAACCCTCCCCTTGAAAATATCTGACCCCTGGTTCAATATGCCCACTATCTGCTTGCCAAAATCCTTGCGCAAAATTATATTATTTATTTCTAGAGAAATGTTGGCGAAATATTAGATTTTTTGCTGTTTTATGTGCCTTGTATTTTAATATATTTATAAAATGTACTTTGAAATGCTTGTTCGTGGAGGAATCTGTAAATAAATTGGAAAAAGTCGATTATTAAGTGTTTTTGCTAAATCATGATGTCACTTTAATGCTAGTTCTACTGGAATGCTATCCCTAATGATTCACACTGATATTATCATGTTCCAAGCCTCCATATACCCCAATGTAAGGGTCGGGAGCGATAAAGATTATTCTGCGGGAGAGGAAAGGTTGAGACGATTTATCATGTTGAAATATAATTCAAAGCCTAATAATTCAGTAGTTATTTAACAATTAGTAAGTTTGAGGTTTATACTCTGAAGTCCGTCCGCCATTATTATACCAGAACAGGAGTAACTTAGAAACCTGTGGCCAAGTTAGAATTTCTTATATATTTATCAATATCTGACTTACAGCCAATCATAACGCGTATACCAAGTCACGTGGATCGGCGCAGAACCCCAACGGCCATGTTACAGCCATGCGCAGACCGACATCTTAACAGGAAGTTCAACCCCTTTGTCGGAAGTTCCTAATTGCCATGCGCACAATAATACTCAACTCCCATTGGCTGATTCAAAGTTTTTCAACCTGCGCAGTAGATTACCGGTCATGTACTTGCCATGCGCGGGATTTTTAAAAAAATGATCGTAGCCAGATAATTTTTGAACGGTCCGATACAGAATCGATCCGTTAAAAAACGAAATTCTGAGATCTGGCAACAGTCAAAATCGGTGAATTTCCGCTCATGACAAGTACATGTCCGTTTTGGTACTGCGCAGGTCACGTGACGTCCGAATTATCTGATTGGTCGATTTTCGTCCAATTAGAATATTTATTTATTGTATTAGGGTTCAAGGACCCCGCCCTTGTTACTATAAAGATAATGAGTTGACTGCTAGCGTTTGGAGGAATCCTCAGATAGGTAACATGAACTACACTTTTCCCTGAAATTGGGACACTTGAATTACTGACAACTAATGGCCTATTTACGGTACTTTTGGTGAACTATGGCTGCTAAAGAACTCTGCTGGGACTTTTGCACTACAACGGCTGTCATAAGCTGTTTTGATCACTAAACTCTCTAGCCTGCGTGAAAAAAAAACGTATGCTATTACCCGCACATGCTGACACATGAAATCCACAGCATTTGCTGAACATCTATCTAAACTCAAGGAAAAGTTTGCTTCATACTCCCCTGTAGATTTATTAGTTTAGAAGTGAATTCATTCATGATCCCTTCAACCAACCTATATCTCCTACCTTTACCGGCAGTCTATCTTACTTACCTGTGACGGTGTAATAAAAAGAAAGTTTAATTCTCTGAGTTTTGGATTTTTCCTTGGTTGAAAAAGCTTTGTGCACTTTCATCCCCTTTGCAACTTCGTATTTATGTGAAATTCGGGCGGCTTTTCCACAATTAAACCGAAGGTTTGGACGTTTTTCACGGGGAGTCGTAACTTGAGCATATTATTTGGAGGGCGCCACAATACAGAGAAGTTTGAGAATCACTGTTCCAGAGTATTGTTGAATCTAAGTAGCCTGTAGCAGGACTTCCCAAACCGGAGGTCAAAAATATTACACCAATTTCACACAAAGTCAAAGAGAAACGGCGCGCTTGCATAACAATGTCGAATTTGATCGTAAGATCCGGAGAAGGGACGCGCTTTCATAATAATACCGACTTTGATCGTAAAACCCTAGTAGCGGTGCGCTTGGTAACAATGCTGACTTTAATCGTTATGCCGATTCTGATCATTAACGCTGAAAAGTGGATAACAATGCCGAATTAGGACCATGTCGTCGGTGACCAGACAAGGTTATTAATGTCATATCATTGTGGGAATCTTAACTGGTAGATATGCCACGACATCGTAATCGAAGGGATTTAGGAGACTCGCTGCATACCAACACAAAATGAGATTTACCTGCCATTCTTTCTGGTTCATCACTACTAGTTTATTGCGGCAGGTAAATATTTTCGCAGAATAAATAATTATTTAACTGTGTCAATAAAGTAATAAAAATGCCTATTTTGAACTGTTTCGTATTTTAAATGTGAACAGGGGTTGCGGAAAATTTTAATATATTTATATTGGAAGGGGCCGCAAGTGAAACCCTGGCTTATAGAATAAAGATGGAGTTCATACTTGGTGTTCGACTATCGAAACCTATTTTTGCTATAAGAAACGAAGGTAATTATTTGAATTCGTTCTTACGCATTTCAAAATATTAACAAAACGGGCACCTAAACAACAATAATTTAAACGTGTACATAATGAAGATAAAAATTGTATCAGTTACTGTACGTTTGATCAAATTCCTCAACAGAGAAATATTTGTCATATAGTAGGGCGGGGGATGATGGCCCCCCTTATTAAAAATTATCTATATTTCGAAAACCTTTCTTCAAATATTCCTAAAACTTTGCAAGTACAAACATAAGGGGCTGAACTCTTTAGCCACTCGGCGGCGTCCGCCGGTCTCCAACCATCGCAACAGCAGAAACGTTTTTGAGCGAAAAAAAAATTCGGGGAAGTTGGACATATGGTCGGATATGACGGACATGTAATAAAATCGCATCAAAATACTAGTATTGCGTTCTGTTTCTTATCAGAATATCAAAATATGCAATGTATTTGGAAAATTTTTTGGGGCATTCAAAATTCCCCCTATGTCCATCTTACCCCTTAAATTTTTGAAGTTGTGAACCCATATAATTGTTCACGAAAGTATGATAAAACACCACCTAGTAAAGCAGCCAAATTTTATTTGATCATACTTTCACACAAATCTTAATCATAACACCAAAAGAACATCTGGGATAGCATGAAAGCTATCGTCATGGAATTTTACATTCGAATGAAAATATTTATACAAAAAAGCTTCAAGCAGAGCAGTCATCACATTGGAAGGACACAATGTGTTTTCCATAAATCCCGGCACAAATATCGTGAAGCCACTTTTGGCATTTCTGGCACTGAATCCATCCCTCGTCCTCTTCGTCGTCAAAATATTTGACCTTGCAGACAGCACAGAGGTTACTGTAACAATATCTTTCATGTCGGTCATTCTTACGTTTATTTTCTTTTTTCTTCCTGGGAGCTGCAACTTTCTTAGACGAGCTAGATGACATCGTTTCTGCGAGTGCTGTAGTTTTCCTGAACGAGCTAGGTGGCGTTGTTTCTGCGAGTGCTGACAGTTCGGCTACATAATTCTCACTTGTTAACACTCTAATTCCTGCCTGAATGGCTTTCTTTGCCTCTTGGCTCTCTGAGTGGCTACTGGAAGAGGCAAATATATTCGAATGATAAACTGGTGCTATCAGGTCTCTGCTATTTTCTTGCCTCAAAGAATCACTGACTTTATCAGAAACTAACTGAACTCCTGGTGAAGTTCTACTTGAAAAAATCGTTAGAGAGCACAGAGCAGCATGGTTCACTTGTGACACTTTCTACCTCTGTCGTGGTGTTCACCTCATGAGATGGTACATCGTAGTCTCTATTTGTTATTTGCCTCTGTTTGATATTCTTTGGTATTTTCTCAACATTCTTTAGGATTTTCTGTTTCCCGTGCATCCAAAACTTGCATCTGGAAAAACATGATAGTACATAAGGGTAAGATGGCCACCCCCCATAATTTCAAAAGATTATTGAGATTATCCAAGAAGTGTTTTGACAGGTAAAAGCAATAACAAAATTATAAAGAAGACTTTCTGGTATCTTATTCACAAAGAACGGGTTTGAACGGTCAAAGTAAATATAAGCACGAAAAACGCAAGAAATTTATTACCCCCTCATAACCCCCCCCCATTTTTACATGATCACATGCTGAAAGATATAGTTAGCTGCTAGATGGCACAAGTCGCTCAGTTAGTCCTAAATCATTGTCAGTAAGTATAAACTTACCAACAAACGCGCGATTCAGAGTTCCTTCGCTGAAAATGAGCATATAGTGCCTCCAAGAAAAACGTGTCCTTACTAAATGCCCTTTTTTCACCCTTCAAAAATCACAAGCCACGTGGAAAGCTACACAACTGACGAACTACGCCAAGCGCTGAACCGAAATGGCTATAACGAATTCCCTCCTTAGCAACGAACTCGGCAATCGCATTTGCAGAACCAAGCCCCATAAGATGTCGCCAATAGGTCAATTTGAAAAAAAGTGTCCATCTAACCCCGTGTGTCTATCTTCCCCCGCCCTACTATATATATTTTCTTGTTTTCCAAAAACATGATAGATTTCGTCTAGTCATACCGAGAGAGATCAAACACTAGAACACTCTATATATATTTGATTTTCATTACTTTCCTATTATGCTTCTCTTTATCACTACTTTTCTTTGGAGCCATGATAAACGGCAAAGGGCAAGAAAAATCCATAAATCCTAAAAATTCCTAAACAAGTTTTAAACCGCTGACGTTCGGACTTTGGTTCGGTCGGTTCTGGTGGGGTCATCTCATTCGGCTACGCGCAGCATTTTTGACTCGAACTTTTTTGGTAGACTACCGAATTATCAGAGTGTCGAGTCGCTCGACTGTATAAGCCTGATGTGTCTAATGTTTGTAATAAAAATGGAGAGGTACTGATTAATTTCCTGTAAAGGACAGTCCCCGAACTCGTAATATAACTAAAATATTCTCAGTTCAAACGCAAAGCTAATGGAAATTCGGAATAAAATTATAACCTAACCCCAAACCGTATTTTCGCAGGAACATGTGCCCTCCGGCAGGCTCACGATCTGCAAAATAAATCATCGATTTATAATTCAACTTACAAATGCCATTCGAATTGGAGAAATTGATTCATTGGATTGGTACGTGCTCCCACGGGTTTTGTGCCACCTTCTTTTGTCAGCAGGTTAGTTTGTATAATAATAAAAAGTCTACCTAGGTATAAAACCAAAAAGATGAAGTAACAGTCATGTATCGTAAAATACTTTATTCGACACCAGTTCATTTTCCCACGGACATTGAAGAAAAACCACTGACATATCGCGTTAATTCAATCAACAGAAAGAAAGTTTTTAGCCAGTTTAACAATTTTTAAACTAAGGCAAAATCAAATATTCCCGTTCGAACGAGTTATAAAGATCTCGAAACAAAGAGCCAATTGCAAGGACTGAAAATTGATAGTACTCATTGAAGTTGGGTACAAACAGCAGAAACACTGCAAAAGCGAGTTTGTGGTGTTTATCTAAATCAGTCTAGTGACAATTCATTGAAAAATAAAGACATATTTCTAGTTTCCCCACATATCGCTCTAAAGAAAAATCATATAACCTAACGGCTTTCAGTCTTCCTAATTTTATTTGTAAGTATGTAAGCGGACAGAGTAAACATTTAACAATATCGCAAGAAAATGCGATCAAACTTTTAAAAAGCCAAAATCAATTACGCCGAAATTCAAATCGCAAGAGAACATCAACACAAAAATGGTACATATTATGGGACATATCATACAGCATGGCACAATACTGGTCATTATAAAGTATAAAGGCACAAACAAGCACACTTTCGCTTTCAGGAAACAGTAATATGTATGAGATAGTCGAAGCATTTTACACTTCATCGAATGAATATTTTTTAGGTCTGCAACAATCTTCAGAAAATAAATAAAATTGAACATTGCACCTCTATCGCAATAAAAGACTAATCATGAGGTAGTCTCACAACTGATAAAACGATTCAATGGCTCTATCAAATTCATTTTTAACAATTGCTGGATAGTGATATTATTTTCCACTAATATAATATAAATGCCAAATGGCACATTTCGTGATTTATCTAATTCGGTCAATGTTCAAGTTTACAAGAATATTAACTCGTCAGTAAATGAAGAAGATACAAATGATAACCAATATTTCATAAACAACAAGTAAACGACATCAAGTACGTCATTTGTATAAAAAAAAAACACGGCGCCCGGGAGGCTTCGAATGCAAATTTTGAAGTGAAATAATTCTTAATGACGCTGGCATCATCGATAGACAAGGTCGTATCTAAATATATACATTCACCGGAATGACATCAGCACAGCACGACACTCACGAAACCAAAATAGCATCTATGTCGAACGGACGTTTATGTGTGGTAATGGAATCACAAAGAACACGAACGTAAACATGCTTATAGCGGTCATAACATTACCCATGTCACGCGTGTAGACAAGGTCACGAATAATTAGATTCGCAAAAATATTTTTAGATAAACGAAAACACTACAAAACCAGTGGGAAAAATGTTGGAAAAGTTTTCCTAAATTTCGTAGTTTCAAAAATACAGTATTTTTATCGACGGTGGTGGTGATAACTCCGCGCACCAAAACCTGAATCACAGTTTTAAGTTTCAGCAATTTAGCACGGCACAATATTTTTATCATAATTCAGCGGTATGAATGTTTTCTATAGTTAATTAGTTTTAAAAAAATGGAATAGCAAATAAGATTTTTACAACATCAAGTTTTTTTGTAATATCTAGCATTTGATTTCCAATAAAACGTGTCTTGGAAATAAAATAAAGCAAAATATGTACATGTGATATTTTTCTAATAAAACAGTGCGAAGAAATATAAATTAGTTGTTATAGAAACATGCTACTATGGTGGAGTCTCTGGATGTCAAAACTTTTTAGTTTTGATCAAAAAGGCCTAGCAAACATTATCGCATAGTGTCATAATATGACACAAAGGCCATAATTCTTGATAAGACGATAAGTTCTAGCAATAAATAAAGCGAAAATAAGCAAAGCAAATTAAAAAACACACTTAAAAGGAAAACACCACACTACTCATAAAATAGTTTTTTTTCCAAATAAATTCCCCATTGCTAAATGCAGTTGCGACAGCGATTGTAAGTCATGGATAGAAATGCATCAACGAGTGATAAGCTATCAAATCCAAAGGGGTGCGCGATACGTAAACCACTGACAGGAATTGCTGATTTTAGAAATATGGTAGATACTAGGAACTTTTGAAGTCCTCTTCTTGGAAAACAACGCCAAGTAGTTTCTGAAGGCCAATGGTGACATGTTCTGCAATAAAATAAATATTCAAGAAGTTAATGTATCTGCAATCATACATGAAGCATATATATATAACAAAAATAATTTTCTTCTTCAGCAGTATATACCAAACAACTCAAGAATTGATCATAATGGCCAGCGTAAATTAAAAACAAATGTGCTCTGTAGCCACTTACTTGGTGAATACCAACTTCTCTTTATTAACTATTATTATTCAATAAAATATAAATTTATTGCTTTTTTGACTTACTGAGTTATTGATTCACTCAAATTAAAATATCAAGTCATGTGGAGATCATTTTTACAACGTATTTAGTTTTTGAACGCGTTGAAGATATATAGCGGTTATATTAAGATCAGATTGGAGGGAATAAGCATTAATTGATGTAGTTATGCTGATGCCAACACAAGACATCAGTACAAAAAATTATGATATTGAGCAAAATATGTAATAATATTCTGTAACAGAACACTGTTTACAACTGAGAACCATAGAAAGTGGGCAACATTAGAACATGGAACATTAAAATGAAAAAAAATAGGGAATGTTATAAATAAACAAGAGAATCATTAAATTTGCAATTTCAGATAGTTGATTGAATGGCAGCATAACTATATCTAAGTTCAGTAATATATTATAGTTTAAGCTTATGAATAGCACGCAGCTCAGATCACACAATGGAAATTTCACCTTCACTTATCTGACGTAATTCCATTAAAAGAATAGAAACCTAGAGTCACTGGTGTGTGACCATGTGAACTTCGATCGGGTAAAACGCAATGGCTTATTAACAGTCAACAAAGTACATAAAAAACGAAATAATCCAAAACCAAAAGCTCTGTACTCTACAGTTGGGAGGATATTCTACAGTAAAAGGATTTATCAGTAGGGACTGGTGAACTACTATAGTGTATGTGAATGTAGTACCAAACAAAAGAACTGAGTTTGAAGTGTATTGAATATTTTCATGGCAACCAATTTCTGAATTTATATATTATCATAAAACACCCCACAGGTGCTTAGTATGTATTACAAAATTGATCCGTTAATATTATCATATACGATGCCACATTTATTATTTCACATACAGACCATACATGATAATTGGTAACTTAATGAATTTTGAATTATTATTTTTGGCAAAGTGTCACATCAATCAATCGAGAGTACTTGACAGGATTATGTACAATTTGGTTAGCAGTATCTCTGAGAAACCAGTGCTTCAAATCCGGACATGGTTGGCTTAAATAGTGAAAAAAAGCTTAAATGAGGTATGATGGCCGCAGACAGAATACCCACAATGTTGATTCAATGATGACATATGAAGTGGCATCAAGAGCCGAAAAGTGGACAAGACTGATTGGAATCGTACATGCAAAAATCATGCAGGGGATACAGTGTATATAACATGAAACAGAAGCAATTCTGCTAAGTAATATAGAAAACGGCATCAAAATCCTGTATCCAGTTTTAAAATATCTTTGAAACTAAAAAAACTAGGCTTTTTCTTGTAAATTAATAACTCCACTAAGAAACTATCGTCGCAACACAAAGCTGAAACATATTCAAAATATAAGGTTTTTAAATTTATGATCTGTTGTTGCGTGAGAAAATAAAATCAATAGATTCTCATAACGAACTCATATATGTAATCGAAGTAAATTCTGATACTTTGAAATTAACATATCTGAGACATCAATATACATGGCATCTCTATCTAATCTTTATATTATATATTAAACTATCAAACCACATCCTTAGCATATTCATTATTCTAAAAACGAACTCTTATGTCCTTATTCAGATAATACTGTACATGTTTTGCCACCATGGAAGCCTTGGAAGAAGAAAATTGAAAATACTTATGCAAGAACTGTGTTTACTGTCTACTTTATATCATCAGACTACAGAGGACAATTTCAGTCCATCTCCAAACTAGAATCAATTAAAGAAACATAGACATGCACTATTCAAGGTAGAAATAACACTCCGCCATAAAAGCTGACAAAACAGCATATTGACTACAACTGACAACTAGGGATGTCTAGAAAAGTTTATAATTTCAAAAAGACTGAAGTCAAATTGAAATTTTAATGCTTCATAGGACATCATGAATTATGTCAAATTGTTCAAGTAAAATTTGGCATTGATCATGATATCCTTGAAAATAGTTTCAAATAATTACAATCAAAATGCAACTTGTTTTATATAATATGTTTTATATAGACATCGTCCCTGACAACTGACACCACTTATATCTTAATAAACATGCGAAAAATAGAAATATCTTGTTTTAACTTCACAAACATTTTTTTGGGATCCCTTTTCCTCCTTATGATTCCTGAAACACGACTTGAAATAAACATTGCATCTGATTTGTGATGTAGCCTGTCAATTTTATTTTTGTGTCGAGATGATCGAACAATAATAAAAAGGAAAACAAAATTGGCAAGGGTTAGAAAAAGTAGTCTTCTAGTTGTAAAGAACAATAAAAATGATGTGTAAATTCAACATATGAACATGCAAAAATACAGTTGAGAAAAAGGCACATGGAATGAGTTGAACAAAATTCAAACAATTCTTGAGAAGATGAATAGAGAATGTTTAGAAGCGAGGTTTTTCCAGATTCGTGAAAAGATAAATATATTTTTAAGTAATCTTCACAGAGCTTGTTCACAACCTTGTTTAAATGATAGTGAAAAATAATTTTATGTCCTGGTGAAAAAGTGGAAAAAACGTGCATAATATAACACATTGTTTGGTGCTCATCCAGAACATTTTAGCAATATTTCTTCATGACGCCGAAAAACAAGAAGTAGTACTTTAATCAGCAATTCCACTTCTACAACTAGTTTTAGAAAATTTTTAGTTGGAAATTCAAGATAGAACGATTTGAAAGGTTTAAAAATTCACTTACGCATTCCCATATCCAGCCATCTAGGTTGTTTGCTTTGATAGCGGATTCCGACAAGGTAGACAGGGATGCCAGTCAACACAATACACGTTCCGATCAGACATTCTTTAGGCGCAGCATAGATTGCTGAGACCACCAGAAAAGTGGCTGCCAATGCAAATGTTATTGGTAGAGCGAGTGGCATCTGAAACAAAAAAGAAGTTTATCATTTGAAAAGAAAGTTTTTAATCAATGGCCATAAAGTCACTTTTAAAAGAGGGTGCTACAAATTGATCTTTTTTAAATGGCTCCTTATTATATCTTTCACTACGAACAAGCACCTATACAAGCATCCATGTATATGCCTGTTAGCTATGAGTTAACTATATTTAAAGAACCATAATTTTTCTGCTTGTGGCGTGCCTAGTGCCTACTCAATGAGATGTGAGACGGTGGGCATAGGGTTTAAACCAGTGATCTGTAACTTGCGATTATTAAATAATTAGGTACAACACCAATTTCAGAGACATTGGTCCCATATCGAATTACCTCGTATACCTATGTTGGGCTCGTATGGCATGCAGGCCGTTCTTAGGGTGATAAAAATGGTACAAAAGTGCTATTTTTTGGCAGGTTTCCAATAATTTCTATTACGAATAACAGCACTGTATCAAATTTATAGATAAGAACTGCGGTAAGAGTAAAACCACTGAACAGATATAATTGATATGAGAGTATAAAACAACGTCATTGCTTCGTGATACAAAATAGATTATAACCGAAGCTACAGAATTGCCATGAATAAAAGACAAATGTGACTTAGTTAAAAATATATACCTAGGTTCAACAGTTCAAAATTAATGTAATTTTAGAAAATCATATCAAATTTGGAATGATTATCATCTTATATTTGCACATGAAAAGAACCATTATTTATTAATAACAATGCAGACTCAAAATCACGACGACTTGAACTTTAAGATTGTGAAATATAATAGCGTATTATCGTTACTTGAGGGAATATTGCGGTTTTCATAATGATGAAATCAAAAACCTCAAGACAGATGGTGGTGAATGACACAACTGGAAGCATCGAGTGTGGCAGAAATTTGCTCAAATATCTACATCTACACGATTTTGCTTAGTTACACACTCAAGGAGAATGAACATCAGCTATTCGATTCAGAATTACTGACATAACAACAAAACTTTTCTTACCGATTTGTAAAAAACATGCTTTATTTTATATTTCGAAAAAAAAAATACAGGTAACAAACGCATAAAATAATGATAAATTCGTACATGGTGTAACACAGGAAGAAAGCATTTCCTGCAACTGAACCAAACTTCTTTATAATGCAATATTAACTGTTTGAAAATTCACCAGATAAGTAGGCCAGTCAGTTACGCCAGCTGTTTACATATCTATAATTTAATATTGTCAAATATACCCTAATTTCACCATAGCAGTTATAGAATATAACCAAAGCATATCTCGATACTTATGCTACAGACAGTATTTATCAAGAGACTACTCCTAGTCCTAAGCTATAAATTTTAATTGAACAAATCTTTGATCATACCTTGACTGGTCTTTCCATATCAGGATACTTGAATCTCCACCAGATAAGACCAAAAATGGCAAGTCCAACACACAACCAGTTGAAAAAACTGAAGTAAGTGATTAAACTCCAAATGTCCCCAGATACCAGGTAGAGTAATGATAGAAGGCACTAAAATGATAGGAGAAAAAATTGCTATTATCAAGTCAATAATAAATTGGTTCAGGATCGGTCGAGGACCAACTGACTATATTGGCAATTGAAACAATAATGGATGAATTTAAATATAAGATTCAAATTATGGACATTCCTGACCATGGTAAAAAAAAACATTTTTGAGTTTATTTTACATGAATATATATACTTTGATATGATTATAATCAATTATGAATCACTCACGTTGAAGATGAGAGCTGGTACTGGAGTGTAGTGTTTTGTATGGATCATGGCAAGAATATTCGGGAGTTGTCCTTCACGTGCACCAACGAAAAATAATCTGAAATTTATTAATAAAAAGACATTGGATTTTCTCCGCGACTATGATACTAGGAAAAAAAAACAGTAAAAAAAAGGTTATAGGATGCTACTAGTTGCAGATGGAATAATTGCTGTATGTGTTTCATAAAAACCAATCTAATATTTTTAGCTTTGTATTCAGTATCATCTTATGACTTTGACATAACTTTTCCATTTTCGTGATATTTCTTTTCCATTAAAATTAATATAAGATGACACCAATCCAAATAATTTGGTAAAAAAGTTTTTTGTATAAGTAATTTATTTGCTTAAAAATGTTGCTCATCCAACAAAATTGTAATGATTGTCATTTACATTTGAGGGTCAAATAAATGTGACATTAAATAATTTAAATGCTTTATTGTTACATTTGTTAGCAATCGATTGTTGAACAATGTAACTAATAAAAGAGATAAATATTCACTAATCTTCATTTCAATGCAAACCAGTCTAAGATGATGGTTTATATGCGAAATAACAAATGAAAACATGCCGTAGCTACAATCAAAACTTCATAACCACATATATTGATGAGACGGTGGCTCACAAGCCTAACAGTGATTGGATGAGAGCACTCAACCATATCCACCACAGGAAACACCTCCTGCAACTGTACATCCACCATATCGACATCGGATATTTAGTGTCTTTTCATCGGAAGTACGATGATTAGGGTTAAGGGGAGTCAAATTACAAACAGTTTTTATGGATTTATATCAAACAAAATCATGCTTGGCCGACAATCCTAGGAGCTAGGACAGTACAAAAATTTGTGTTATCGAGTTTGATTGAGCAGGATCATATAAACATCAGAAGATGAGAGATATATCAAATCTAAATTGAACTAGTAATAATAATAATTATTCAGATGAAATCATTTGATTACAAATTAATAACACTTATTCGTGCCTTAATTATATTGTGATCTTGTTCAGTCATATACTAGTATCGGAAATAAATATGAAATATAAAAGGTGCACCAGAACCAGAAGTATATGTACCAATATGGAGGTAACTAATTTTGTTTGCCCACTCCACATCAAGATGTGTAAAGGAACAGAAGCCTAAGGGCCGGGGTATATTCACTTAGCTTACACAAACAATCCTCGAACACGTAAAAGAACCGAAAAGAGGAAAATCAGAATAAAAGTATGGCCTAACCCTAACCTGGTACACATACTACGGGAGTACCGAATGAAATCTACATCATTAGCAGTTGGAAAAATTTTAAAAATTTTGCATATGCATATTATAAATATTTGTTAATTATTTAAAATAAAAAACTAAAATATTTGAGTTTTGAATACAAATACTCCAATCCAATGATGTGTGAGAATTTGACAAGAAGAAGACATGTTGTTATAACAATACCAAAGACTATTGGAGGTGAACGCCAAATCAAATTGCATTAAAAAATCAAGTATAATTATACTGCATCATTAATAAAGTATAAATTGAACTGTTGCAGATGTAAGAAATGAGTAAAACTCATTGAATCACTTTTGCACAGTGTAAAATGATTATATATACACACAGCATAAACAAATATTTATAATGTTCACTATTGGTCTATTGACAAAATATGTAGCAGGCAGCTTACTGATCCTATTCAGGATGAGATGTAAAGATCATTTCAGTTCATATTAAACGAACGCAACACTTTCAAACAAACACAAATACAAACAGAAAATACAAAAGAAATACAAAAACGTTCATTGACATTGTCAACATGTTATGCAGGAGAAGGTCAACGATCAAAAATTGTATCAAAGAATGTTTTGAAGTAGGAAAACAACAAATTGTTTTCAGAAACGCTGATAAATTCAGATTATGATAAACAATATAAGAAATAGAAAATCGAGAAAATACTATACCAGGTCAAATGGGTTAATTCGAGTAAACAAAAACAGTGCAGATCAACCTATATGCTTGTTATTGTTGTGTCTGTGTTAGATTATAAGTTCAGAAAGTAAATATACATACCTAGAGGATGTGAAAATAGATCCGTTTACTGAACCAAAACACGAGAGAGAAACGAATACTGGAATGATCCAAGACATTACGCCAAGAAGCTTGTCTCCGAATAACTGAAAATTGATGGAAAATTGTTGAAATAATTTGTGGAAAAACATTTACCTTTAAATTATCACAAGTTTATGGAATTTTTTGATTATTTTTTTGCTATGTAATTTTGAATTAATTAAAAACCATTATAATGAACATCTTGATGAAAAAAATGAAATAGAATCAATTTTTCTAAAGTTAATACAAACCGCAATGAAGCCTGTACTTAGTGGTTAATAGCACTCAATTAAGATAAGATCATGATCACGACAAAACGTTGTGTGATAATAATATATAATACCAACAATTAGGACACATAAATCTATTATACTGTTCTAGTGCTTATAAACTTTGAATTTTATTCAGTATTTGCTACAAATCTCATTCAGTAAACAACATAATTTCAAAGTTAGTGTTGAAATTCTCAGCAAAATGCATGTCATTTATAATGATGATTTAGTGATAACCCAGATGATTTTTATACATTTATCTGTAAAGTAAACTTATGAATAGGCCAGCTGAACTCCAATATATTACAATTTCATAAAATTGAATAATTTAGTGGTGATATTCTGAGAATTTCAAATGCTGTACGAAACTCTTTTAATGGAAGCTTTACAAATGTGCAATTCTTGAAGGTGAACCACAGTTTTACAGTATCCATTTCACGACACTTCTAGGAAGCATTCAAGAAAAGACTTCGCCAATTCGAAATCATAATCAAAAAATTTAGCGGCCAAAAGTCAAAAAAGTGAAGCTTCATAGATTTATTAATAGCTGAAATGCTATAACGATGGATAAAATCGCATTGAAAAAAATATAAGCATTACAGGAATCTCACATTAATTTTAAAAATTAATCATGACATGGACTGCATTAAAAAAACAAAAATAAAAGAAAACTTGGAAAAAACTCTCTAATAGGCCTATCAAATACAGCAATTTGCATCATATTATATAACGCTTGAAAGGGATCTTTAATCATTGTTAACTTATTAATGGCACTAATTGCAGGTTCTTTGCTAGAAGCCACAAGTTTATTATTAACAATAAAAAAGTACAAAGCAGGACATATTTTATGTTAGATGACAACATGACACTACAATAAAACTGCATGACATCATTAGCAGATATTCATTTGTTTCAATTGTTTATTGTAAGTGGTACAATAGATAATAATCATCTGTGACCCATAAAACTAGATTCAGAAGGCAATAAAACTAATTGTCATGCAATAATCACATTTAATTACTCCATCACATAGAAGAATTGGGACAACCATGAAAGAGCTTGGTCTTCATAAAAAACAGTTCATTATTTATTAGCAACCAGAGCAAATAAGTTATTAACTCGAATTACTTTTCAAGGCGCCATTGGCCCATTTATCATAATTATTTTGCCCAGGCCATGTATGGTTAGTTTGGTTTCAAAAACATAATTCAAAGACGGAAAACATCTGTTTTCAGTTAGTTCACTATCAACCAAGGTCACCTTGCAACACAAATAGTTATTTATTAATAAATAATATTTGATTCGTATGTATTTGTGGGCTTTGTAGGCTATACCATTTCTTGTTGAACATCTCAAAAACTGGCTAGTTGACTAATATTCAGCATATAAATTATGGTTGTTTGTTCAATACTCCTTATTGAAGTATTTGAGCAAACACTCAACAAAATAGCTTGTCAGCAAATATATGCTGAAAAAACAACAGACAAGTTTGCAAAGTATGACACATGAAAGTCTCAAACAGATACTGCATAGACTGATAAAATTATTTGCGCATGGCGGAGAAAAGTGAGGTTATTGCATGTCATACTGACTACTGCCTCATTCAACCTCATGATATACATGAGAAAGCTACCAGATGTGATGCCAATAATGGTAGTATAATGATGTCCCGCTTTGACGCAATGTGATGTTTTTTGTACGCGAAAAGATATTTATAAGATTTTAAAATTATTTTAATTTTTCAAGATGAGTTTTATTTTTAATAAGGACTTAATCTTCAACCATTTTCCACAACCAAATCAAAATATGTTTGATGCTTTGCATTGGTTTCATTTTATGCACCCCATCAGTCGCTTGGCTTGGCTTGTAAAAAACGGTTGTGTAGCAAATTGCACTTCCTAAGAATTTCGCAACAAAGCACAATACAGGAAAAGAAATTGGGACATAATGAGAATGTATTGATGCAAACTCTATTTTGTCTGGACCATGCTAAATGTATATAAAATATGTTTCCTTCTGAAAGTTAAATAAAATATGAATGTTATCAACTCACCACAGCGACAGCATTTGAACTGACAAATTCGGCTGGAGATAAAACAGTGAAGTATGCAAGATTTGCCATCACATAAACGACTGATACAAGAGGTAGTGAAATCATAATAGCTCGTGGAAGATTTCTAAAAGAAATCAAATATGCTGTTAAATTAGAGTGAAGACAATATATAGATTTGATTCAAATGGAAATATTTTATATGAGATTATGATTTAAGTATAAACTGTTATCAACAAAACTTCTAATGTTATTAAAATGTGGTCATTTCTGAAAATAAAATATAAACAATTGATAATATGCACAGCAATACTTGGAACTGGTATCAGTATTAGGTAAATTTATGACTTTGTTTTTACCTAAATTTGCTAATTCAGCAATTACCATATCTGGGTTTAGACAATAGCCCACAAAGTAAATATGTTACCGCCCCATGATAAAACTATGTACAAGAAAATGACAGCAAGGCAGTCATAAATTATATACTAGTGTTTTAACATCTATATTATTCACATTCCTGTAAAAAGTAATTATTGGCATGAATTAATAATATTAAATTTAAAATTTATCACCACAGTAGAAATAGTGGTGTTTAACCAAATATTGACTGAACGATGGGAAAAATATTTTATGCGGGATGATAGAATAGAAATATTTCAAGATATAAATCAATACTGTATATTTACAGATTTTGACACAGATAAGAATCTTATTATTTTCATATATCATACTGACAAAAAAATCAATAATGATTTTTCTAATATGACAATGCGCTCATTCAAAAGGTAAAACGAAAGCACTATTGCTATCGTTATCAATGATAAACAGAAAACATTTTATAATATTCTTGAAAATTCTCGAAATTTAATAAAGATTGCTAAATTATGATTAGGAATGATTTCATTTATTGCACTATGGGTCATTAATACAAAAATGTTAATTTTCAATTATTTAGATGTAAATTTCATTAAATACTTGTTTCTTTCAACACAATTTGTTGAGGGGGACTATTTAAAAAAAATGTGATGTCTAAATGTATCTAAGTAATGCAAGCTGCAACTTCAAATAGAACCTCACTAAATAGCTTACTTGTATGGGTTCTTCATCTCCTCTGTGACAAAATTCAAGTAATTCCTGAAAATATAACAATATTGAGTTAATTTCCATTAGAAATCTAAGGTAAAAATCTGTTAAAATAGTTGCTGTCTACTGCCTTCGCATAGGACAATGATAAACAATGCATTATATAAAGTAGAAAATGAAGAACAAAATTATCCCAACATTTGACACAGATTACAATTTTGTGAATGTTGATATGAAGGCCATTTTAAACAAATTCAGCATATCTAATTGCCTATTCAATCTTTATAGTAAAGATGTTTGCAAAGTGTGGTGTACTAATAATCACAAATAATAAAAAAGTTTCATAAGTGTTTGCGTAACATTAGAATCTATAGTTAAGTAAATATAGTAAAACTCATATGTTTTCAGTGTTTAAAATTGAATATATCATTGAATTCTGACATGAAAATGTAAAAAGAAAAAAACATTCACTTGTATTTGTGTGGCATTGAATCTGGGTTATTACCAGTATTACGTAGTGGTTTTCAAATAATTTTGGATAATTCTGTATTGTAATCTCAAATCTTGTTCAGTGTGATAAATAAGAAAATCATAAAAAATACCCACCAGCCTCCATAAGCATAAAGACTGTTGTAGAAAGCAATAACAAAATTGCCGACGTCGTTCGAAGTTCCAGAAAATGCAGCTTCCGGTGTGAGGTACTGCACATTTCCTACAATAAGTTTTTGGCAAAACTAATTATGAGTAATCAAAACATGACATCATTTGTGATGATTCATAAAGCATAGGTACCTGGGCATTCAGCAAATGGAAACAATTATTCTTTTACAACCAGGTATTTATTTATTAATAAACAAGCAAACCACAGAACCACATACTGGTAAATTCAAATTGGCAGAGAATATCCTTCTATATGATGAAACAATGGCGGTCTACGGAAACTGATATTCGAAACACAATGACCCAGTATAGATAAATAATGGAACTGGTATTTTCTATACAATCACAAAGGTTTCACATTGTATAGTTTACTATATCATTGAGATATATTCACTATATTATTGAAATTGTGGTTTCATGATATTTTCATGTTTCACACAACTATAATGAGTACTCAGATAGCTTTAATATCAATTGAAAATGAACCACTTTACCTTATATTTTGATACACAAGAACACAAGTTGAACTCCTAAATAAAACCTAGGTGGGTAGAAATTAATATTTATTTAGCTAATCTACAGAATTTAAAAATATTATACCTTTGCCAATTTGGATCAAGCCAAGAACAATAACGAGCCCTAGAGCCAAGAGTTTAGCTGCTGTGAAGATGTCTTGAACTCTAGTGGCTGCACGTACACTGATGCAATTTACCAACGTCAAAAGTACTGTATAGAGAAAAAATATGACTAACATAATACAGTAATATATTGTTCAGATTAATAATATCTAATATTTAACTAGATTAGATTTAGATTTTATACTAATTGCATTATGAATTATGTTTGACTGCCGACATTTTGAATTTCAGGATAAAATAAAAATGAAAATCAACTCACTCAGACATACAGCTGCAAAGAGTCTTATAGAACCTTCTGGCATAAGTTCTGAACAATTCGGAAAGAATGGTTGAATTAGGTAGTACGAGAATGTCAACGCAATCGCTGCTTGCGAAGTTGGACGAATAATCAACAGTGCTATCCAAAGACGCAAAAATGCAGGAAGAGGTCCATAAAATGCCTCAATGTAGGCATAGTCCCCACCAGACTTGACAATTGTCGTTCCAAGTTCAGCATAACATAATGCTCCAATTGTGGAAAAAACACCACCAATTGCCCAAATAATTAAACTCCATCCAACAGAGTTTACTTCTTTATATACTCCAACGGGAGAAATAAATATACCAGACCCAATAATGGTACCCACAATGAGGGCACAACCGTTAATAAGAGTAATTCTTTGTTTCAAAATGACAGCTTCCCCCTCCACATTAACTTCTTTTTCATTATCTTCCATCATTTCTGCTGTCTCTCCTGCTGCAGAATTTCTCTTCCCCATTTTAGTTTCTTTTCTAAAGTTATTGGAGAAAAAGCTTGATATCTCAGATCAGTCTTTGGTTTATATTGCCTTATTACGTCTCTACCTCTCTAACAGACTAAACCAGTGAATCGTTAGCAGATAAATTGATATGTAGTCTAAAATACAATTATGAATTAACAGTCAAGCAGCCCGCATCGCAATATATCATATCAATTATCAAAGATGAATAAAGAAGGTAACTTAGACACAGATTATGTCCACTAAATACTGAAATTTATCTAAATCTTAAAGTCGAAACAACGCGTTTAAAACACGTATAACATAGTTTTTATATTCTTTTCCTCGCATAAAGCCCGATTCAAACCACGGCATCACATTTGTGGTGATATTTCCAGTTCTTCGTCGCTATAATAAAGCCCATTATTGCGAAACAGACCGACGACGACGAAGGTTAACGGCGTGCGAACAGCTTTGTTTTGAAATTTTACTACGCGCTAGAACAGCACGTGGCAACACGGCTGACGCAAGACCGAGAGAGACAGACGTGAAAGCGTTTCCTTTTATGTGCCGAAGTCCCTTTTTCTGTTCTTAACGCCTATAATACACAAATTTCACTCTCACGGCGACGAAAGGATCGAATAAATCCCGATTCGTCATGCCAGTAAAGCACATTACGTTAATACCAAACTCATATTCATATTCTATTTAAAATCACGGCTTGCAGCCGGCCATCATCATAGAAATTTCCTCGTCGTGAATGAGGACCCGCGTTCGGCCTTATTGCCGTTCTCCCACTGAAGACGGTTGACGACAGGCATGACGTTGCTTCCACTGCCAGCTGTTTATTAGGAAGCGCTCATCGCTCATGGCCGGGGCAACAGTTCCATTCATAAAATGTTAATGACAAAAATGAATGATTGTGTCATGTCACGGCTCAGTGCCGGTCAATGTTTGAACTATCCACATATCATATATAATAAATGTTTGAAAGACGGGTTGCATTTACATGCGTTATAAGTTTAAGATATCTATCTTGCCCAGGTATTCCTAAATCAGGGTAGTTGTACTACCATTTTAGAAATCTGGGTGAATATATGGTCCAAATTTCCCCAGTCATAGAAGGAATAGTGGGCTGTCATTAGTTTTTACATAACTTTTAAAAAAAAAATACCGTCGTATTCAACAATACCAGATGTGGTGACTGGGTGCGATAAGATAGGGCGGCCATTTTTATCGATATAATCATTTTAACAACGAAGCTAAGTTCAGGATTAGGATTTTGTGTATTGGCAGTTGGCACATGGAGATTGCGAACCACTGATCCGCGTCACTTTTTGACCCACCAGTCCACCACGCTTTTTTACGGACCTACGGAATTACGAATCATGGCAAAAACATGCTATTATTATAAAAAGAAATTATAATAAAATCGGGTTAAATTCCACCCAATAATAAAAATTAACAATGGGGCAGAATGGTACCGGGTTAAATGCAACTGAAAGCCAATCGAAAAAATAAATAGCCTATACAATTCTCTCAAGGTGGAATTCCCTTTCAAACCCGTTTGAAACCACACTGTAAACTGAAAAAAAAAGATTTTCGGCATTTCCTCTTCATCAATTGTGGTGGAATAATTTTTTTCCACCTTTCTTCGTTGTAATGTTTTATATAGGACCTATATTATAGACTTCACCTCGTTTCGTTAGCCACCCAAATATCAACCGGTGATTATAAACTTGTGGGAAGATGCAACTGCAAGTTTCTAATCGATGGAAGTAAAACTTAAACTTAATAAATATCTATGACCCACGGTCTTCTTTTCCACAATAAAAATATAATTTTTTAGCCATTCGCCATCCCTGTATTAGGCCTTTTACCGCGCATGAAATCTTCTCAACTTTTAACGAATAAAAGTAAATACATACGATTATTCAGATGCGATTAGTATTAATACCGCACGAACAAAGCATATTAGCAGCTAATTCGACATTGCAAATCAACTTCAATCAAAAATCAATAGGGTTATGCAGTTCGTTGAAGAATTTTATTAATTTTTAAATTGCTACAAAGTTTTGCAATAGGGATTTATCGATAATTCAAGATATATTTGGATTATCCTTTTTCGGTATCTCGAAAGTTGTGTATTAGATTCATGTAAAGGGTGTCTTGTCAATGTACCTTACGTGTTGACGTACTTTAGTAAATATGACATTTAATTTGTCCTTATCACGTTATAAAGCTGTATGTTTTGCATTGCTCTGTTTGGGAATTTCGAACGGCTTTCAAAATTTTGAATCCCAACACTGGCATATGGACCAACACTTAGGGTTGCAAACCGCTCTTAGGACAGTCCTCCTATTGGCTCTTTTGTCCCTCAATTAAGGAAGTTATAAAGGACGCTGATTGTCCTCTATTTCTGGCATGGCTTTTTCTATAATCGAGGTCGAGTGTGCTAAGGCTGAGGATGATAGGGCAATTGTTCAAGGATAGGAAATCCAATACACTATGTATGATACGAACCAGCCAAATAAAAAGTACGTCAAAAAGCAAATAATGTAATATAAACAATTTAAAAAAGAAACATTCCACTCATCCAATTTATTATAATCACCATCTATGTGCAATAAATTCTATCATATTAGAAGTCTGCTTTTTTTCTACTGCTGAACAAAATGAAAATGCCATGGTATTAATATATATTTGAATCATGTTATACATTGCCAGCTGTTGTATTATTTGTTGTAACACGTATCGTCGTGTTTGTACTGAAATAATTTTTCATGTTCTTGATTTGTTCGTTATTCTCACAGTACATCTAAGAATATTTCATCGTCATCTTCTCCACTTTTGATTTTAAACAAGTTTATTATTTTCTGTATTCTGTGTTTTCCTCCTCTAATATGCTATAAATATATATATTTTTTTGTTTTCTTTCCCCCGTTTGAAGATTTTGTTACTACACATGTATTTATCATTCTGTTTCTCAATTTCCTCATTTTCAGACATTATCAAGCGCTATTCATTGAACTGGGTTATTAATATTTTCACGTGTTTTTATATCATTCACACAATTCAAATTATTCAATATTTTCACTCTCATTTCAACATATGTCACATGTTTGTTTCTGAATCCAATGCTTTACGATTAATCTGCGACCATTTATCTTTACGAAACTCTTTATAGGTTTATTGATCAGTTTTTGATTTTGGACACGATGTTTTTCTTCTCTTCTTGTCGTGAAAAAATCGCTTTTCACATTAACTACTGGACAAGTGACTTTGAAATTTTAAGTGGTTAATAATTGTATTTTTCGCCAAAGGGCTGTTTTTGGATTTCGTTTCGTTTCGATATTTGAGCATAGCTCTCTTGTTTTCATAGTTACACAAAATTCGTAGATGCATCTGGAACTGGCTAAATAATCCTAACTCGGCATGGACTGGTAGCCAGGCAAGAGATCGGAGTTCGCCATATGATTAAACCGTATTATCGACTTTCCTCTCCGATGGGATAAATATATAAATCCTATCCTATCATCCTCTTTATCTATATTATCGTTGTCGCGCACTTTTGGAGGTCTGGTTTACACCATATTTAGCGGAAGTGCTAATCAATCAACAGTTTTCTGTTTCTCAAATAATTGTTCGGTAGCTCGTATACGACGGATTATATTGTACAGGATTCGATTTGAGCTACACTTTCCACAACGTTATTAGGAGAAAGTTGAAAAATAAAACTCGGATATCTTTTCAATATTGATTTTTGTAACCGCAAACTACACTCGTTGTGGCGGAACGATATCGTTTATGTCCGTCCTCGCCCTAACTTGCTTCAAAGGGTTTGAAAATGTTCAAACTCAGAAAAAACATTGTCCCAGTTTCCCAGAATACAAATGATACGATTAACAAAAACTTTCATCCCGTGCTGAATATTTTGATTGATGGAGCACTGCGATGTTTCTCATCTCACTATGCTCGCAGAAAAAAATAATATCGGACTTGACCAAACTCAATACAATTGATGCGCCTGCACTCGACCTGGGTATGACATATCTCTAAACTACTATGTTTGAATGACTTTTAATTGCTTTTGTTTTACATCGAATATGCTGGTGATGTGCTTGCAATAAATGAAAATCATACACATTTGTCTATTAAGATATAAATACTGAGAAATTTTTTGTAGATACATCCGGTACAAGTAACCCGACTGCTGTCGAAACGAAATTTCGGTGGTGACACCGAGCACGCGGGTTTAGTGCAAGGCGAAACAATACAAATCACATTCTCACAAGCAGTGGAGTCGCCCGACGGGGTCTTCGTTAAACTTTAATCAAGGCTGTGGAAACAAATATTTTTGAAGATGAGATGATGACTTAACACAGATTCTAAAATATTGCTTGTATGTAACGAAGTTTAATTGATAATTTTTAAATTAGAGGTTATGGAGTTATACAAAAATTTTCTTTGTAGGTAGCACCGACTTTTCCAGGTTGGCAACTGAAAAAGCAACCGAGAACATATTTTCAAATTGTAATACATTATTTTTACGTTACCTGGCGGTTATAACGTGCAATAATAGAAGTTGAGAAAACATGAAATAATAAACAATTCTTCGGCACTGCTATTACACTATATAGTAAGCAACGTGCTTAAACTTGTATTGCAGGGGGAAGATTTATAACTATAATACACACAATTCCTCAATAATTTCAAAATATAAAAACTTACGGCACTTTTAAAAAATGTCTTCATAAGATGCCGACGTGGTAACGCAGAGCAATGCCATTACAAGATACACAAATGTAGACTTCATCTTGTTCTCCAATTCCTCATACGATTGTTAAAACTACCTTAAGTCACTTCAACGACGTTATATATATATGTGTATGTATTACGTAAATTGTTTCTACCTTTTCATGCTCGTCATAAGACGGGACAGAAATGCCGTTATCTTTTCATCATCGAACGAGAGTGTATAGTCGTCCGTGTTTTGGAAATAGTTCGTTTCTTGAGAACGCAAATTATGTTTACTTGTTTACTCTTATGGTATAGCAAAAAACTTATTTGATGCAATTTTATTTTATCATTAAATGGTAGTGTTTTAAATTTCGTTCCTTGCTGCAGACGTCAGATTGTGTTTACTTGTTCGTTCTGTGGTATAGCAAAAACTTGTTCGATGCGATTATGCTTTATCTATTGATAGTGTATAAATTCGTGCGTATTTTGTCAATCGTTCCTTGCTGCAGATGTCAAATTGTGATTTCCTGTACATTGTTGGGGTATAGAAAAAATTTGTTCGACGCGTTGTCTTCTGTGGATCTTATAATTCCTATATAGTAGATTGCTTTGTATAAACACACGCAATAACCTTATCATGATCATAAAAAGTGGTTGCCAGTGATTATTTTATTATTTGAAATTGGGGGCAGAAGGCGAAGAAATGCTTAAAAGATAAAATAAAATTTGGACAATCAATACAAGAAAAATGTAACATTTGAT